GATGCCCCCTGCGCTGTCTGTTGGTGATACACCACCTCCATCTTCCAACTGGGGCACAACAACCCACAAGCTGCCTAGCGGTACCTGGCAGGCGCCTCGTCCTCCTGCCTGAGTTACCTTTCTTAGGAGTGTCAAAACCCTTCCCCTGAGAGTTATCTACAAACCGTGGCCGTATGACAAAGTTCAGATACCCACTCTGAGATGCAGCCAGCTTGGGAAATAAAGAATGGTTTATTCTGAATCCTTCCAGATTTAGTGGAAATTTGATTTTAAAATAGAGTCTAAGCATGGAGAATTAAGAATAAAGTCCTCCAGGACAGAGACCCCTCTCAGAAAGCACAGTCCAGCCAGACTCTTGTCAGAAGTTTCCATCCACACTGCTGTTACGTTTGGGAGGTTGAAACAAACATCACAAAACTAACTGTAGAACTTGGGCCAGGAAAAGAAATGAAACAGAAAACGTGCTCAATAAAATGCCCGTGTCTGGAGCTTTGGATCCTGCAGACCCCAGGAATGGTAGGCCTTACCCTGAACAGTCATCTCTGTGGTGAAGAAGATGCACGTTAGTAAGCCCAGCTCTACCTGTCACTGAACAACTGAATGAAGAAATTAGCCCCAAGTCGGGGCACACGGCTCCAGTCTCAGCTCTCAGAGGGGGGCTACCTAGATTATATAGAAAACACCTTTCTCAAGACCTCCAGCAGGCTGCTCTTGTAATTGAAAGCTTTGAGATCCTCATGGCTTTTCACCCTCTTTCTGATGCTCCTTTCTGACCTTAGACTACTGAGAACTGACTTCATAAAAAAATGACTTAAATGTTGCTTAAAAATTAAGGAAGGCAGAGACGGTCCTCGAAGGAGGGAGAGGGTTTTAAAGAAATAGAGGCCAGACTTCAGTGCGTGGGTATACAAGCAGATACGAAGACAGAGGTTGGATTTGAACCAACAATCCCATCGCTGAGCAGATGAGAACACCGGGGATAGTTTGAACGAGTCTGAGGCTGTCCCACACTATGAAAATGCTGAGGGAGGAGATCTTGCTTTGGAGATATGTGGAGAGGATGTGATTCTAGGGGACGGGGAAGGACACACTGAACTGGCAGGGTCTGAGGTCACAGGTAAGAAACTGTTATATGGTGACTTCTGTCTTTCTCCATATAAGAAGGGGTAAGGTCAGTTGCTGAAAATGAGGGCAGGTTAGATAATTGACAGAGCACTCGGGGGTTAGATAATTAGAGTTTAGGTTTATATGGAAAACCAAGAGATTACTACAGTAATAAAAGAGTGCTGAGCAGAGTTGAGAAAAAGATACTTTGTATAGAACCAATTTGTCCCATCTTCCCATTGTCTCTGGCAGCAGTATGGTTGTACTGTAGCTGTGGGCCCAGGGTAGGTGGATAACTTCATGTCTACAGAGCAAAGGGCCAGGAATAGAGAACAGTACAGAAATCCAAATTTATGAACCATGGAATTCAAGCTGGATATAACAGGAAGTGAGGACCAGAAGATTCGGAGATGCAAGTTAATTGGTGACCTCATTCATTCATTAAACCAGTACTTCTGAGCATTTGCACTGCGAAATGAACTGACTTACATCCTGAGATGGTGGCAAGAACCCATCTATTTGATCTTTTTCAGACTAAAATCTGGAGTAGGGACAGATGCTAAATGAATGTTCACATAAACCTTATTTGGTTAGAGTTGTGTGCTATGGTGATACAGCAGGACGAGATGATGTCGGAACAACTGTATGAGAACAGGGTTGGGTGGGCATCCATGTGATGCCCATGCCAGGTTATCAGTATAACACGGTCACAATCCATTCCTGTGGACACGAAGGCCACTCAGAATGACAAGTCAAGAGGTGGTATTGTCCTTGGTGAAGTCTAGAGACATACAGTGTCCAAAGCAAACTATTCATAAGCTCAGGTAGCAGCTGATCATGGCAAGGACAGATTATCTATGAGGGAGAAGGAACTAGGGAAGGCTCACACTTTTTAATATTATTGAATCTGGTTACTCCTGACCTACTCTAAAAGAAAGAAAAGATGTACAATGTCTACTATATTTTTTTGTGCTAAGTGAATACTTGTTGAATAAAATTAAGAGAAACCGTATGCAGTCCGTTGTGTTTCGGCATTTGGGAATAGTTGATGAAGCCTGATTAGTATAAGAACGGTGTCTACCTAAAGTTTTCTTATATTTTAACTAAATAACACTTTTATTAATTAAATAACTCTACAAACTACAGCATATACTAGCCATGGAAAAGGACATCCTTATCATTAGTCCCTATGATTCTCCAGTGTTGGGACTCACATATACATCGTATGAATGAATGAATGAATGAATGAATCCAGGATGCGGGACAGAATTGGGGAAGGAGCTGCTTCTGAATATATTCTTTCTGTAAGATGGGTCAGGGAATGATGTTAGAAATAGTTTTACATTTTAAATAACTTACTAAATTAAATTGCTGAGAAAATGGTTTTAAGGGAAACCATGTACTCTACCTTTGTTCTTGATGTTTGAAAAATAAGAAAAAAGGGTTGGCAGGATGGCCCAGTGTGTGAAGGCACTTGCAGATAAGCTTTATGACCCTCATGAGTTTCATCCTAGGACCAAGATGGTAGAAAAAAAGTGGACTTCCATAGGCTGTCCTCACCTCCACAGTTGAAGACATGTTCATACACACACACACACACACACACACACACACACACACAACAAAAGCTAAACTAAATGTTAAAAAAATATTCTGCCTTATTTTGCATTAAAATCTCATATTCCTATGATACTACTTCTATCCTATGTTTAGAGGAAAATAGAAAGGATGAGAATCTACAGCACTGAGAAAGACGAGCCTCCCTGTTCTGAGTTGTAAGAGACGCTGGAGACGGCCTTTCATTTCGTGCTTCTTCTGCAGGAGGCTTCTTGTCAGTCAGGGTACTTGCAGGCTTGAGCAGCAGGAAGGGACGGAAGAGCCAAAGGAAATTCTCCGGGATTGATCTGTAATCGGCAACTATGAGTTCCAAAATTTGGGTTCAGAAGAGGGGAAGCTAAGACCAAAGGAAAATTAAGTGAATGACTGGTATCCCAGAGGTAATAAAGTTAGAGAGCTGTGCCCTGCATAGTTAACCTGTGTAAGGCAGGAGCCAGTCTTACCATCTTGGTCACTTTCTAGTATCCATCTTGACTTTTCATCCACAACGTCTTCTACAAATGTCTGTTCAACAGAAATTGTTCCAACTGTGTCCAATAGCCAGCAATTCCAGAGCCAGGTAAGATGAGACCCCAGGTAGAATCCCTGGATTAGCCCTTCAATTGGGTCAGGCAAGACCCTATGTGACTGATGGTAGTGGAATTTAAGTCACTGGACAGGGAAGTTAAACAGGAACCAAAAGATACATCCTAGTTGGTTTTCATATCACATGTAATACCAGAAGACCTAATGGCTGCTCTGGAGGGCTCATTGCATTGGGCAACTGAGAAGAGCCGAGGAATTCAAGTATCAGGCAAGTTTTTAAAAAGACTAAAACGAATGGCGAACACTAATGTTCTTGCGGTACGGAGCAGTGTCCGTTCAGTGAACATCAGGGAACGTACCATTGGCATCTGGAACAAGTCAAGTACACGTCTTTTAGAATTCTAGTAAAATGATAACCCATGTATGCATAGTTGGCAAATGGCTTATGGGAGGCCTTGCCTCAGAGAACTCAGCGACGACTATCAAGAACACAAATGCCTGGAAAGACGTCCCAGTGGGGAACGTGTAGAAAGAACGCTGCACGCTAAACAAAGGGAGAGAACATTTCTGGTCACCTCTGTGTGACTAAACAGAAGGGGCAAGAGAGATAAGCGAAGGTGTGGCGTCCCAGTTGGGACACTATTTTGGGAAGGTAGACCGAATTGCAAGGTATTGATCTGTTTCTTGTAGCCAGGGCTAATTTCAAATTATCATTTGCCACTTAACCCCTTAGTCCCTGGAGAATCGTGTCTGTCTCCATCTTTATTGAGTCTGATCACCAATTACTTAGATTTGCAGCAGATGTGGATTCAGTCAGGTAAGGACCTCCCACTCCAACTTAACCCCCCCACCCCCCCAGTCGATCAAACCTGGATTTGTACTCCACATTTCTCAAGCCTGGCTCCGTTAAAGACGAGAAAATAATAACGATGATGAAGGGGCTTGAAGGACACATTATGGTCCTTGATCGATGAGCTGTCAGCTTCTGTCACTCGGGACCCTGTGGAGAACAACTGGAAGAGTTTGCGGATCTCTGGCCAGTTGTGAAATCTGGCACTCAGTGTTTGTTTCTCAATGTGAAAGGATTAACTCGAGAATTCTGAGTCTCCATGTGTGGATAAGGAAGATGTATTCCCTTAACTCGGCTATGACCAAAGGCTTCCGTCCACATGTGAATACAGAGAAGGCAAAGAAGGCTGCTGTGCCACCAAGCTGATCTCTCTCTCTCTCTCTCTCTCTCTCTCTCTGTCCCCTGTGAAGGCCTGGGCTTTTGCTTAACATGGCCTTTTTGTTTTGTTTTGCCTGCGATGCTTCTCTAGCGAACACATGTGGCGTCTGTTCTACCCCAGCTCCATGCAGATGCGAAGCAAATGCTCGCTGGCTCTGTTTTTCCTTCTAATGACAATGATGAGGAATTCAGACAAAGAACAAGTTGTTTTTGCCAGCACAGCCACTCCTAAGTCTCAGACAACAGCTAAGCCACCAGCTAATTAACCTCCCTCCCCCACCCCTCAGGCTTTCCCTGGGGGGCTTCTAAAATACAGAACCAAGTGAAGGCAGGACACCATTAGCACTGCATAATGTAAGCAAACACTTAATGTGTTTGCTTTGCCTGCCTGCTGACCACCTGCCTTCCCACCCTACCAGGCAGGTAGCATATATGGGATGTCCTGGCTGCAGTCCTACAGAGAGAGCCCCTCTCCTTTGGGCCTGGCCATCTGTGAACGTAATCTCAGTCTCTGGGCCCTGGTAGCATGTATCTCCTCTTACTTCAGCTGCTTGTGCTCTTGCCTCTGGGGAAGGCAGTCCGATGCGTGGACGGCTGCCAGAGCTCATTCTCCTTTGTGCTCCTGGAAAGGGGTCGCAGAGATCTCCACATGGCCAACCGTGAGGAGGGAGAAGACAAGCCAGATCTGTTTGTGGCAGTGCCACACCTCCTAAGCACCAGTTTGGCTGGGGAAGGCCAGCGGCAGAGAGAGAAGATGCTGTCCAGGCTTGGAAGACTCTGGAGGAAACCTGAGACGAAACTTCACTCCAGAAAGGATGTGGAAAATGATCATGTCTCATTGGGGATCCCGGCCCTCACTCAGCCAGCAGATGAGAGGGAAGTGGAGAGGTCCCCTCTTCAGGAGGAAGCCAAGAAATTCTGGCATCGCTTCATGTTCAGGAAGGGCCCGGCCTCGCAGGGGGTTGTCTTGCCCATCAAAAGCCATGAAGTACATCGGGAGACCTGCAGGACAGTGCCCTTCAACCAGGTATGCACTGTAGGGGGAAAACAGCCAGAGTCTGTAAAACTTGGGGACAGATAGGACAAATGCAAAAGAGGCTGACAAGAGACTGTACCTTGCCTGTTCCCCATTTGGTCCTCGGGTATTCGTTGTGGGATTTGGCAAAATGTGATTAATTTCCCTTATTTCCTTCTCACGTCTCCTTTGTCCTGGATGCTAGAAGTGCTTCAAGTGGCACGGTCAGTCTTGGTGGTCACCATTTTGAAGGCACAGAGTTTGTTGAACGTGTATATTTTTACCATATAGAAAAGTAAGGTTATGCTCTCAGGCCCCCGAGAATTCAGAGCAACTGCCAGAACTACCTTACAGCTTCACTCCATATTCATGAAGAGGTAGAAAAACAAGTACATCAAACTGGAGGTGAAGTGGGCTACCTCAGCTATCTCCCTGGGTGCCCTGCTTCATTTCTGATGCCCACACCTTACTACTTCGCAGGTCCATGACAATTTTCTTTAAATAGTTGCTGAAATTATTTGACCTTGAAAATGCCCCTGCAGAAACTCTAGGCTGTGATTCTCACTATCATTTCTTGGCATCGTGATAGCAAAACATAATTTAGAGTGTAATTTATGTTTCTCTTAGGTTTTCAGAAATAACCGTAATGTGAAATGACATCTCTTACCTGCGCTGGCTAATTTGTAGTGACCAGGACCAGTTCTGTACTCTTAAGACAAAGGAACATTCTCGTATTCTTCTTTCTCCAGTCCTGGCAATGCCTACATTCCAAATGCTAAGTTAAAGTAGAGAAAATGCATCAAAAAGACACTGAACCAGAAGCAGTGCAGGAGAGACTAAAATTTTACAGTCTAGTAACGCCGCCCGATTAACTAGGCTGTATTCTAAGGCAATTGCCTGTGTAGCAATGGCAAGTCAATCATCAAGTAATAATATCTGCTTTGCCGGTCCGTGTGCAATTAGAAAATTGCTCCTAAGACTCGGGCAATCAAGTTCCCTTTGAAATTCTTACTTTTTAATTCTATTGCTAATTAAATTAAAATGAAGGCGTTTGACTCATATTTTAGAAGACACATAAAACTGAGTATCTGGAGTTATGAGAAAAGCAGCAAAGGTGATGTAACATAGGTATATACATCATGACTCTGCTGCTTTGTAGACCTGACTGCTTCACAGCGCAAATAAAACAGGACAGAACTGAATTCATGGTCTCTGGCCTATTCCATGGTTAACTGACCAGTATTTACTGAAAAACCGCTGTGCACAATGCACTATAGAGAACAGAACAGTGGGATATGGTATGGTTAAGTAAGAAGGCTGCCCTTACAGCTTTTTGTTTCCAACTGGTTATATCCAACTAGATGGAAATCTTTAAAGTATGGTGTTTATAGTGGAAATTATTTTCACGTTAACTTTAGGCTTTTTAGAGGCTAACTGATGTGATGATTATTACACAATTATTACATTATTGTGATGATGAGTTACATGATAAAGAAAGCTTTGGTGAGGTGGCTTTGTCCCTAACGGACTCCCTGTCTTGGATATCACAAAGTGCATTCCCAATTTAGGTCATTCTAAATCATCCTTCTGTGTCATGAGATGCCTTGAGATGACCCAACCTGTTTGCCTTTCAGACAATTGTCCACGAAGACTGTGAGAAAGTTGTTGTGCCGAACAACCTCTGCTTTGGGAAATGCGGGTCCATTCATTTTCCTGGAACGGAGACATTCCCCTCCAACTTCTGCTCCCACTGCTCGCCTGCCAAGTTCACCACCGTGCACCTGAGGCTGAACTGCACCAGCCCAATCCCCGTGGTCAAGATGGTGATGCAGGTGGAAGAATGCCACTGCATGGCTCAGGCAGAGCATGGAGAGGGACACGCCCTACCAGCTGGTTCCCAGGAGTCCTTCATCCCTTGACCTTCAGCTTCTGAAGCTGTCCCATGATTACCTCTGAAAGCAAAACCCCAACAGAAAAAGTGGGGGTTGCTCAATATGGAAATGTTCAGTGGTTACATAAAGGGGAAGTAGCACCCACTCTTTTTTTTTTCACTTGTGTTTAGACCGGGAATTATGTAGTCTGGGCTAGCCTCAGACTTGCTGTATGGCTAGGAATGACTGTACTCTCTGGATCCACTTCCTGGGTGTTGGGTTTTCAGGCACACACTGTAACACCTAGCTCTAAGTTAGAGGGATTTCTAAAAGGATTTTGCTTATTTTGAAACTGCCTTTGAGATGTAGGAAACGTTTTGATTCTTTTGAATGGTTCTTGCCGTAGATGTGGGAAGCAACTTGCTTGATGGCCCATATCTTTTCTTTTCTTCCTGTACTCCTCACACGAAGCTTTTACTGCGGGTTCCCCGACTTTAAAGAGGGAACCCTGATGCTTCTCTTTGCAGTTTATACATGGAGGGGACTCAGGCACTAGGAACCAAGCCATTTCCCAGAGTTTGAGGAAAATGCATGAACAGTCTTAGAGTCAAAGGCCATCTGGGGATGTTACTGAGAAACCCAGTAAGTCTCAAATACATTGCAAGTCATTTTGAAGGGAAACGGTTTATAGGTGACATCTTCTGCTCACGTCCCCCTTGAATCTTGTGGCAAGGTGGGCTTCTAACTACGGTGGAAGAGTGTGTGTATGACAAACAGAACTCCACAGGTCCTTCAATTTCAAGTTCTGAATGTGATCGGAATGGTGTATTAAATTTTAGTGTATGAAGAATTCTTGAAAATACTGTGTCACATAAATGTTTGGTATTGGTCTTTCAGGTATTGGTATTTCCTAAATGACTTCATGGGCTTCTGACATTGGCCATGGGCTTCTGATGTCACAAGCAACCCCTGCGGAAGTCATTCAGTCACTGTCTCTTAGCAGCTGCCTCTTCCCTGCCTGCATTTATTTGTGTCCAGCTATTACACATCATTGCCTCTTCCCAGCCAGATTACTTTTTAATAGTAGCTTTTGAATATTTATTTAGAAATTACTTGATTTAGATCCCTTTGCTTTTAGTACCCACACACTCACACCCCCACATTTCCCCGAGTAATGACTAATTATGTTTATAAAGAAATTAATTTTACATTTTAATTTGATTCCTCTTAAATCACCATCTAACATGATGCCCTGAAGAAGCAAACGCATTTATAGTGAGTGTGTATTGTGCAACATATCAATGTAACAGAATATGAGCTACAGAGATACACATGTGGCGTTTACAGCAGAATGTATTATACCCTTTGGTGGTCAAAGACAACCTAATTGGCCAAGATGTGGTCATAAGCATAAAATTGTTAAGCATTAATGATATCCCAGCTGGTCAATATTTTTTGGTGCCAAAAGCTATTGAGCATCTGTCTTGTGTGCAACTGCCTAACCCTGATTATGTAAACCCATCTCTGTCAATCGGGGTCCCCTTCTCCTCTTTACACCCTCACAAATCCCACTCATCGATACTTACAAATAGACTCTCAAGCCCAAGCTCCAAACAATTATTCATTTTATTCAAACTTCTGGTCTGCTCTTCCCTCGCACGTAAACTCCAGATGCGCTAGCTGATAGACGGCTAAGAGCTTGCATTCATAAAGTGATTTGTGGGAACCTCATCAAAGTGCCCATTCACAAACACTTTTACTTGCAAGAAAAAGCAGTGTCCAGTGGCTCAGTGTATAAAACACGGGAGCATAGGACACTGTTGAGAGGAAATGCACAAATAGTGTATCCCTCAGACAGCAGATGTGTCTTTAAATCCATCTACTCCTCTCAAGAAACCCATGAAGCAGGCGGTCACCTATTTTGCCAGTAAAGAGAGCCCGTCTTGAAAGTTCAAGTGACTTTGTCTAAATGTGCACAGGCATCATTTTCCTTACTTTTAATAGACTTGAGTATCTAGATTTACTTACAGCTGTATTTCAGAATGTGTCTAGATCATACATGGTGAAGGCTGACAAGACAGCGTTCCTTCTGTGACACTCTGGTCCAGATATATTTGCTTTCCTCACATAGCTAGGGGACTACATTAGACATGGAAGCTTTCCACTTGTAGTTCTGACTGATGCTTTACACAGGGCGCCCATGAGAAGCGATAATCAAGGACCTCACTTGGGTCTTCTGATCCAACTACTTGACATTCCCAGTAGAATGTCTATTTGTATTAAATACTCTCATTCCTTCTCTATCACTTTAGCTTTATGTCTCACAGGTCTCTTATTGCAGATGTCTCACCAAGTTGTTCTATCTGAGTATGTCCCTGAACCAGGTTCTTTGTTAAACATAGCGATCACTTTATTAGTCCTCTCTACAAATGCCATCTTAAATTTTGGTTTTATTTTTCTCTCATAAAGAAAGGAAGAAAAGAAGGGAGGGAGGGAGGGAGGGGGAGAGGGAGAGAGAGAGAGAGAGAGAGAGAGAGAGAGAGAGAGAGAGAAATAAGTAAGGGTTGGAGCTGAAAAATGGCTCAGTCAGTAAAGTGCTTGTCATACAAGCTTGGAACTTGAGTTCATATTTCATGTCCCTAGTAGCCACATGAAAGCTAAGAGGTAACACATCTGTAAACCCAGCCCTGTCATATGTGCTTGTGTGTGTGTGTATCAGTGTGTACGTGCATTCATTCATGGAGCTGATGAACCAGTCAACCCAGAGAAATCCATAAGCTTCAGGCTCAGCAAGAGATCCTGGCAGAGAGATAATGAGGAAGACACCCAACAATGACCTTTGACCTACCCTCCATGAACTCATTCACACGAATCTGTGCTTTTAACTTTGGATCTCCTCTGGTATTTTGGCAGTCTTGTATACACATTGCTCAGTAGTGCACGCTATTGTCTTTGTGTGCATGCTTTGTTCATCAAAGGCTCCCCAGTTACATATATGCTGTGCACTAGCTTGAGCGCAAGTTAAACAGATGCTCGGCTCCTGTCGAGTTTCCACTCCTGCAGTGGGATGGCCAAGGAACTTGAAAATCAAACAACTGTAAAGGGAAAAATGAAGTGTCTATATGCTCTGTGCAGGGCAGCATTCTAGAGACAGGTTGCTTTCTATTGAGTGGTCTCTAGAAGTGGGGACATGAAAGCGGTGCCCTTTTAATGGGTGACATATTCTCCTTTAATGGTCTATGGCAGTCTCTTCTCTGCACAGTATCCTATCTTTTATCTCCAATTCCTTTTGATAGGTTTTTTTCCTAAATGTTTCTAAGCTGACATTCAGTATTCTCTGCAGAGAGCAGCTGAGTGAGATTTAGGACTTTGTTTTTCCAGTGTGCACTTGCTTGTGACATTTGTTGACAAGAGTCTATTTTGTTTTTCACACATAATGCATTTGTCACTGGTTGTCTGCTGCATATTCTTCCAGGGCCTATGCATTTGACAGGAGCAGAAACTTTTTGAGACAAAGAAAGGAAAAGATCGTGCACTTATTTTTGAAGACTGTTCTGGAAATAACTCAAACCTTATCCCATGGTTAGCCCAAACAAGTCACATGGCCATCCTAATTCCAATGGTGTTTGAAGGTACTAATTTTATTGATATTGTTATTTTAAATAAAGGATTTCATATATCCCAGCCTGGTCTAGAACTCACTGTGTAGCTGACGATGACTTAGGACTTCTGAATCTTCTATCCCCACCTCCCAAGCACCACGGTTACAGGTGTTTGCCATCACTGCCAGTTTCTGTGTTTGGAGTTGTAACCCTCCACCAAGGCGAGGTACAGGATTTTTTTTTTTTTTTGACATGTTGTTCATTGAATCCATAATTAAGAATGCCGTTCAATTCCTGAATTTTTAGGAGATTTATTCTAAGCAACACTCTACACTAAAATCTTCAGGTTATTTAAAAATAAACGTGTTGAAATAAGAGCGGCGGGCTGCGTCCCCGGCACCCGGCCGCCCGCATGGCTAGCTTTACGCAAAATAATTACATGGAAACTGTATTCTTTTAAACACCGCTTGGCCCATTATATCTAGCCTTTTCTCAGCTAACTCTCACACCTGGACTAGTCCATTTCTTATAATCTGTGTAGCCCATGAGCTGGCTTACCAGGAATGATCTTAACCTGCATCTGCCTGGAGTGGGAGAATCATGGCGATTCACTGACTCAGCTTCTCTCTCCCAGCATTCTGTTCTGTTTACTCCTCCCACCTATGTTTTAACCTATGAGGGCCAAGCAGTTTCTTTATTGCTTAACCAATGAAATCAACAGATTGATATATGACACTCCCACATCATAAACGGGATACGTTTCCTTCTACTTCAAGCCTTTCGGTGTGCAGCAAAGATGATGTGTGAACCAGATAAGACAGCGACTCTTGTGGGCTTCTAATCATTGAGACGTTACTATATGTTTGCATGATTTATATCCTTTTAGTGGACATTTCCCGGTTATGTGAGTGCGTGCTGTGTGAGTGTTGTTGAGAATGTAATCTGCTGTCTCATGCATGGCAGTGCAGCTTTCTGCCCAAGTCTTATTATGGTGGGAGGTCCCTCTGTATGCTGCGAATATGTGTTGCTTTTACTGGTTGATGAACAAAGCTGCTTTGGCCTATGGCAGGGTAGACTAGAACTGGGCAGGAAAGCCAAACTGAATACAGGGAGAAAGAAGGTGGAGTCAGAGAGATGCCAGCAGCCACTGAAGGAATAAGATGCCAGAGCCTTATGGGTAAGCCACGGGGCATGTGATGATACATAGATTATTAAAACAGGTTAATTTATATGTAGAGCTAGCCAGTAAGAAGCAGTTTTTAATTAATATTAAACCTCAGAGTGGTTGTTTAGGAACTGGCGGGTGGGGGAGAAACCTCTGGTTACACTCATTTAGTTTTTCCCCCTTGGAATTAAAGACTTAATTCATTCTTTGGTGCTGGAGAGGTTGCTCAGAGGTTAAGAGCACTAGGTGGATGCTCTTCCAGAAGACCAGAGTTCCATCCC